TGGAAAAGACTGAGAAGATATACAATAGCCACCTTCAGATATCTTAAGGGCTGTCACATAAAAGATGGAGCAAGCTTATTTTCTCCTGCTCTGGAGGGAAGGACTAAAATCACTGGCTTCAAGTTACAAGAAAGGAGATTTTGACTTAGCATCAGAAAGAACTTTCTGACGTAGGAGATGTTTGGGCAGTGGAATGGTCTCCCTTGGGAGATTGTGAACTCTCCTTCCTTGGAGATTTTTAAGCGGAGGTTGGATGGCCATCTGCCATGGATGAGTTAGCTGAGATTCCTCTATTGTAGGGGGTTGAACTAGATGAGTCTTGGGGTTCCTTCCAACTTCATGATTCTATTATTATAATAGAATTATTATTATTATTATTATTTAGTTCAGTATTGTCCACGGTGATCAGCAGTGGTTCTCTAGAGTCTCAGTTTGAAGTTGGTCCCAGCTCTTCCTAGAGATGCTGAGGACTTGAATAAGCACACAAGAAGAAAATGTGCATGAATTTCCTATGTCCATATTCCCATCTCCTTCGCCTGTGTTTCAAGGCTATCTTTCTGGAGCAGAGAACTCTCCTATACTTGTGAAGGGTCCTGCCTGGTTTTGTATGCAGGTAGGGAAATAAATCCATTCCTGTTAGAACTGGAAAGCTGAATTCAGTTTCCCAAACGTAAACATGGAGATGATCAAATCAGCTGAAATAGTTCCTAAAGCTAAATGGGCGAGGTGTATGTTTCACAGACACACACAGATCATCCTTGCCCTCTCCATTGTAGCACAATAGTGCAAAACCTCAGTTTGTTAGCAGGATTACTGCATGGCTGATATTCAGCCTTTCTAATAGAGCACCTCTGCACATTCAAAATTCTGCTTACATTGTAGGTAAAAAGGGGAAGTAGTCAGTAGTCATAGTAAGGTATTGATGTTTGTAATCCATCTTCAGGTCATCGATTCTCAACTAACTGCTTCAGAACAACCTCTTTTACTGGTTTTAAGAGAACCAATGTGTCACCAACTGCTTCCTTTTGGCACAGGTTTTGTTTTTTTCCCCCAACAGGTAATGGCTATAGGAAAAATGGGGCCCGAGGTAACATTGCTTCATTGCTAGCCAAAAGATAGAGGGTGGGAAGAAGGGAGAGGCAGCTCTCAGTACATCTTTACTGTGTGAACCTGTTGTTACCTGGCATTTATTGCTGCCGAGAAACGGACTGGCCAGCTGCTCTGCAGGCTTTCTGCTCTTCTAACAGATGGCACAAATGTAGTCAGTCTATTGACAATGAATGCAGCCAGGCTTGCTCACAGGAAGGGAAGACTCCCAAGGTAACAAGGTCTAAATGGTCACACGTGCTGGAAATACACGACTGTGACAGCAGCACTGTGTTTCTGAGTTGGTCTAGGTTTTTAAAATGGAAAGGAGAAGAAGAAAGCACATCTCAACAAAATCAGCCTGGAGACTGACTCTCAAACAGTGAAAACACAAACAGTGTCTGCGTTCCCACTCTTGCCCTCTTCAAAGATGATATGCATACATCAGTTCTGCCCAAAGCTCTTTAAAGCATACCAACATTTGTGCATCAGTGTGCTAATTACTGTTGAGAAAGATCTCCAAAGGACATGATAGCCTGCCACGGAATAATTATCTCAGCATGTTTTTTTAAAGGAGAGGAGCTGTTTTAGTAGATACTGACAAAAAGAAGATGGGCTCATTTCAAGCTCATATAAAAGCTCATATAAAAATGTATAAAAAATGTATGAACAATCATAGATCAACAGGGTAACCAGTTAAGTGAGCCTTCCACTAGCTGAATGATTGTGTGATGGCCAGTATTTAAATAAATACCAAAAAAAAATTTAAAAAAATAAACCAAACTCCTAATTTTATTTTGCATTTTGATGCAAAGAGCAAAACAGAGAACAGAGGGGTATCTATGAGAAGAAACAAAGAGGAGATCATTTGGCATATAGCTTGCCTCATATAAGGTTCAAATCAGTCTGAGAGAGACAATTTTCTAAAATCCAATGCAAACTGAAAACGCACAATAAAAATAAGTAAAGTAAGTAAGTTAATAAGTAATCCTATTAAAAACAGCACTAAAAACTTAAACACCATTTAAAAGCACAAAAATATGAAATAAATATTTTTTGTTAAGCATATGTCTGAAATTCTTATCCCAATAGTTAATTGTGATGTTTTGGAAGATAGGCCATTTTACGTGGAAGGTGTCGTGTTTGGGGCAGGTCCTCATCAGAGATTTCACTACTTCGCATTTTTAAAAAAACCCTGCTCCTTTAGAAATGATTATGTAAGAATCTTCTTCTAGTTGGCATCATTTCTGGGGCTATATCATGGAACACATGCATAAGAGCCATGACCTATAACCATCGAAACAGAGATGTAGATATCTTACTACAAAAAAATCTGAATGGAAAGTACTGCACAGTGAAATTCCATGTGCGCAAGTGGCCACTGAATCTGGGCATCTCAAAAAGGACTTTCCAAGGCCTCATAGCAAGACAGTTCTGAAATTGCTCCAAAAGCAGTTGGTGATATGACATAGTGATTAACTTTGCAAATAAAAAAATGTCAGACATTTCACTCAGAAGGCAATCTCTCAGGCATGGCTGGAGTAGCATATACTGGATCCCAGCCAACATCAACTTGTGTAGAATCTTTAAATCAACAAGCTTAGGGTCAAACTTTGCATTTAACATGCAGGGAGGTTAATGATAATATTATGATGGAATTGGCTTAATGTCCCACTCCTTTCTAGCCGATTTGGTTGAGGTAGAATATTTACCTTTTCTAGCAATTGCCTGCGTCTTCTCAGCAGAACCAGTATTTCATTTGGAGAATTTAAAATATAGGCAGAAAAAAATGCTCATATATTTGCAAAGGCAATTAAAAGAAACACCCTGCTCTGTTAAAGTGGAGAGTCAAGGTGTGATGTCAGTAAATTTTAAGGCATAAGCAAGAAAATATTGCTTATTGTTTTAAATGCATAAGCAAGAACATTCATAATTGAGCATCCCCTGTTCTTGGTGGCAACCACAAAATCCTTGCTCCTCAGATTCTGTCTTTGAGTATCTCAGCATTTGGCAGTTCTACTTTTAGCTCATCTCTTATCTGTCAGCTCAATTTGTTTCACTATGACCTTATGTGAAAGAAAACCTCCTGTGGAGTTTGCGATTAGTTTTTATCTGGAAGCCCATGGTGCCCCTCCAGAATGGGTTGGGGTGGTTTTGTGGGCATATTCTGCATCGTGTCATTACCACAAGCATAGTGCATTCGTAGTGGATTTATACTGGACCATCCACACAGCATTCTACTCCATGTTTTTTCTGCAATATTTCCCCAATGCTACCACATAATTGTCACCTAGAGGGGCAGTCTTGTGCTGTAGTGCAACAAAGGCAGGATACCTGTCCTTCCACCCCACTCAAACAGTTGTGGTATGAAAAGTTTTGTGATTTCAGCAGGCATCTCTGAGACATGCACCAATTGGAAGCTAAACAGTATGGCCACCCTAAACCTCTGCAGAGAGAAACAGTATTGAAAGCAGAAGCAAATGTGAAGTTGCAGAGTGCATTTGAAGTCACATCAGGAATGCAAACTGTATCAATTGCTTGTCATTTTCAGTCACTAAATCCTGACACTTCCATAATCCACAGGATTAAAATTCACCTGCCTGGTTAAGCAAGTTCAGTCAAGAAGATATCTCTTGCAAGCATTTTATACTTGCTGTCCACATATACTGATCCTGGATGTGTTCCTATCTGTGTCAAACAAGGACCTTGCTTGCCTAGAGTTCCCTCACACCAATTAATGTTCAGGATGTTCCTTTTATATCTGTCCAAAAAGAAATTGTGCCTGTCAAATCGATCTTCCAACCCTGGACTGACTTTGGCATGTCAGAGCATCAAGTCATACAATCACATTGTCTACTGCCTTGACAAGGATAGTGTTCCTATTAGAGTAGCCTGCATGCTGCTGCTAAATTAAAATGAAGGTGGGCTATTTTATTTTTCTTTGGAAGCACTCAAAACAGGGCTAGAGATTTTGCTCTCTCAATACATTGGAAATTTTCTTTCAAACTTTTGGAGATAATTTTATTTTTTTGAGATGGCATAAAGCAAGTCATAGCCTAAGCAAAACAAAACAAAACAAATCTTGTTTAAAAGCATGAACATATTGTATAATATATACATTACAACATTTATATTTTACTCAGTTTTAAGTCATGGTTAAGGGTGCAGTCCTTAACTTCCCCTGGGAAGGTGTTCTACAAATATATAGGTGTCTCTTAGTAACAACAGTGAAAAGCTGACATACCATACTGCACTTTCAAAAAATGTTTTTCTGTAGAGTGTTACAGGTTTCTCATCCATATTATTTTAATCCTCCCCAAAGTCTTTTCATAATCACAAGCAATCATTTTTTCCTATTTACCATTTTCAAATTATTCTTTAGGAGCAGCCATTTTTAATGTAGTTATATTTTATGACAACAAAACAACAGAAATGAAAATTGTGTATTTTACAGGGTAGTCAATCTGTGAAAAAGTGTGAAACAAAAATATAGGAAGTTGGTTGCAGACCTCCCCATGCCCTGTGGGTGAAGACATTAATCAGTGGTAGAGGGAACAAACTACACATGAGAACCTTCTGGGACTAAAAACCAGCCACAACTTTATTGATTATGAGAGGAAGGCTGAAGTTGAACAGGGCTGGGATATGGACCACGTCAAGATGCAGGTCAACTAAAGTGGCCAACCCAAGGCTGCTGCCAAGGCTTCGCCTCCATGGCTGACTCTGATTGGCCAGATTTGAACTGGGGATTTGGTGAGCTATCCCATGATCCCTTGTGGCCAACCAGAGAATCAAACAGCTGGCCAAATATAGAGCCTTTTCATCCTTAGTGGGTGAGGGACGTAAGAAACACACTGGGGCCTAATTTGAATAGTAGAGTGCTAGGTATCTGGTGGGAGGGGTGTTCTGCTCCGGAATCATCCCCTCCCTTCTCTGTGTTCTATAAATTTCTGTTAAGAGGGACCAACTGCCTCTTCTTGTTTTCTTGCCTCAGACTTGCCTCATATTGTTGTATTTAGTTTCTCTCATTATGTCATTTTGTTACACTATTCTTTCTTTTTAAAGCTTAGTTTACATTTACGTGAGCCACTTATTCTTTCTCAAAGAAAAAGAAACTCTGCTGAAGAAAGGTGTGGAATGTCCTAAACTGCAGGAGTGAGGGGATATTCCCAGTTTGATTTAGTTAATCATCCCCCCACCTCCACAACAGGGAGAAGCCCATGATGGCTGCAACCACCAATACCCCAGAGCTGGGTAAGTGGTCAATCCCACAAACTGCAATAAATGATTCCTAAAGACTTCTTAATCAATTGTTTCAGTTTCCCAATATAACTAGCTTAGTAGCTTAGTACAGAGTTCTGGTAGTAGTAGTAGTAGTAGTAGTAGTTGTAGTTTATGATAATAATAATAATAATAATTTATTTATACCCCGCCCATCTGGCTGGGTTTCCCCAGCCACTCTGGGCAGCTTCCAACAAAATATTAAAAATACAATAAAATACATTTGACACTTATCTGCAAATTTGATAAATTAATAGATTAAGATTTCAAAATTCAAGTGACAGCCCCCATTCTAAAACATTATTTACGTGTACTTTGCAGAAAGATTGCACAACAAATGTCATAAATAGCCTTCTCCTATAGGTGTGCTGAGCCAAGCAGTTAGGAAAACTACAAGCTTTCCTTCAGTGTTGTTTTTTTAATTCTCCCCTATGAATGATTGCTTTAAGTTAATTTTACAATAACTTAAGAGTTTCCATCAATCTAGAACTCATCATTAATGAAGTGTGCTGCTGTTGTTTTCTTTTCTTTGCTCGATTCATTTAAAATGAGTATCTTACACTGAAATAATTGTACACTGTCCAATTTGATGTAATGTTTTTCTCCATTAGGGTAGTTACAGAATTACTCACATCAATATTGCATGCAAGGCAAGGAAGGGGAACCTGAGGCCTTCCAGAAGTTGTTGGACTACAAATCTCATCAGCTCCAGCCAGCATCACCAAGGATGATGGGAATTGTAGTCCAGCAATCAATTCTCTCCCAAAGTTGGGTGAAAATACTGTATGTGCCTTTCCATGATGACAGAAGCCCCATAGCGAGGGACCAGCTGCATCTTCAGAGAAAGGGAATTCCATAGTTGAGATGCCATTACTGAGAAGTCCCTACCCCATGTCATTATACAACAGGCTACACCCAACATTGAGAAGGGCCTTATGAATTAATATGAGGGTGTTGAATTGGACCTGGTAACATATAGGCAACCAGTGAAGGTCCCTCAGAATCTAAAAAAAAAATCACCCATTTCCCCATGCTCAGGGCCTGTTCAGGACTGCCACAGAATTTACACCTCTGTTGCAAATGCTAAAGTATCTGTTTAATAACTGCCAGTTAAAATGAGTAGTTTGAAAGGTAAGAACCTTCCGCCCAAAAAAATCAAAATAAAAAATCAATAGATTATGATACACTGATTTATCAAGATTTTTTTTTCTAATTCTTTCATGGTAGAAAGCATGAGGGAAAGAGAAGGAGGGAGGAAGAAAGCAAAGTCAGCCACAGAGTGTCAGTTTACCTTCCTCTCTTTTTCTCCCTGGAGGGAAATATTCAATTTATCTTTGAGGGTAAATGTTGATGCAACAAATAGTCATTATGTAACTATGCTCAGCTCAGGAAAACCTGAAATGGATTTTCAGGCTATTTGTCAAGTTATTCCTTCAAGCAGGACACTTGGTATGGATTTTTTAAAAGCTGACCCTGCTCAAAATACACTGAGCTCCACTGTAGAGTGAACATAGCAGCATGTGCTATAATGTAAAATTACTTATTATTGCTTAAAACAATAATAAAATGATCAGCTTGACAGTAAAGAGTAATTGCATGCAAAAGGCACACTTCTAATAAACAAATACTGTATTAGGATTAACAAAACCGTTTTGTATTTGTCTTCAGTGTGTTGACCTAATACTCTTTCCACAAGGGCCAACATTGATGCTAAAATCCAGAATCACCTGAGCTCTGCGAGTGCGGCTTTCTCCCGATTGAAGTGCAGAGTGTATGAGGACTGGGACATTCGCAGGGAAACCAAAATGCTTGTTTACAAAGCTATAGTACTCCCAACCTTACTGTATGCTTGTGAAACATGGACCACTTATAAACGCCATCTCCAACTCCTTGAAAGATTCCATCAGCGGTGTCTCCAAAAAATTTTACACATCACTTCGGAAGACAAGCAAACTAATGGTAGTGTACTGGAAGAAGCAAAGATCACCAGTGTTGAAGCAATGATTCTTCAACATCAACTTCATTGGACTGGTCATGTTGTTCGGATGCCTGATTATCATATTCCAAAGCAACCACTCTTTTCTGAACTTAAAAATGGAAAGTGTAATGCTGGTGGTCAACAAAAGAGGTTTAAAGACTATCTCATGGCAAATTTTAAAAAATGTGGTATAAACACCAACAATTGGGAAACCCTTGCCTGCGAGCACTCCAATTGGAGAACAGCCTTTACCAAAGGTGTCATGGGCTTTGAAGGCACTCAAACTCAGGACACAAGGGAGAAAGGTGCTAAGAGGAAGGCATGCTTGGCAAATCCACACCTTGATCAACTCCTACCCAGAAACCAATGTCCCCACTGTGGAAGGATGTGTGGATCCAGAATTGGCCACCACAGTCACTTATGGACTCATTGTTAAAACCGTGTTTATGGAAGACAATCATACTCAGTTACGAGTGATCGCCAAAGAAAAAGACTTAATTTACACTTTCCTTGAGGCTGGAGGATCTCAAACAATCTAAATGAATTGTTTCCTGCAATAAATGCTTTAAAAGTTACCTTGAGGGTAACTTAATACAAATGTGTATTTTGCTGGACAATCTACCATGAAGAAATTCCCTAACAGCTTTGGGACCCTGAACTCAACCCTCACCTAGCTTAATTAGGTAATTAGGTAATCTCCCACAGAAGAAAATATTGTTCAGAAAGAAATAAAAGCATCCATAATGTTTTGGGCTAGGTCCTGGTTGCAGAACAGAACCAATAACAGGATGGGTAATACTATGTCTTGCAATGGTTAAAAACAACTAGGTGAGAACTAGGCTAGGTGAGAATTGACTTCATGGTCCCAAATCTCTTATGGAATTGTAAAAACAAAAGGGGGCTACTAACAGCAACATTTGAGCAAAAGTGCAGATAATCAGCTACAAATTCACTCTTAAAAATGTTGGATCAATCAGCCACAATAACACTAAAAATGCCAAGTGTGGAAAGGCTCTAGCTAAGGAAGAGTCAACGGCAACTGGTCTCTCAGCTAAGTTGATGGCTTTACAGTAACAGGCATGAATAAGCCACAAAGCTAATGCAAGGAAACCACTTACAGTGGTTTGTTTTCCTGCCCAAAGTTTGAACTGAAAATACAATCTGACATCATTAGCAAGCCAGTAGCTGATATGTGGCATCAGCTGAATGTAGATCTTCTGTATTTGTTAAAGTACAATAATCTATGCATCACGACTTTTCAGTGGTGACCTACTGGTTAAGGAGTGCTTCTCTGAAGAGTTTGTCTGATCTTTTCAGCACCAGGTAAAACACTCCCCCCCCCCAAAGCTTTTGAAATATGAACTTTTGTATTCCCTGAATTTGACATCTATTGTATGCTTTTAATGTATTTCTCTGGAAACTCCATAGCTCAGTGTTAGAGCATCTGCTTTGCATGCAGAACGTTCCAGAAGGTACCTGACCCCTTCAGGTAGGTCTAGGAAAGATCCCTGCCTGAAACCCTGGGTTGTAGACAATACTGACTTAGATGAACCAACTAAGTACAAGTGCTGCTTCCATTTTGATGTTGATTTTTCGGTGCAGCAATTTATTTACTATTTTTGGTTTCTTCCGCATCTATACTGTATTTGCATGTTTATTGTTGGTAACCCACCCAGAAAATACCAATACCAAATGGCATATAAATATTGTTAATAATAAAATGTGAAAATTCTGGAATGAGGTACATACTATAAATTAGTTGTTTTCTGGTTTGTGTCAAAGCACATGTTTTGAAAGAAATTATTTTTAAAAAAAGAAGATTGGGAGAGAGGAGATACAAATCAGCACAGGAACCAGTAATACAGAACTATACCTCAAAGGTTTTATAAATTTGTATGTTTGCTCATGTAATAAACTGCACCATAATCAGGAGAGATTTGATTTATTGCCTGGTTTGACTAACATCACAATCCCATTTCCATCTCTGAGGTGATTTTCAGGCACAGAGTAACTAGCAAAGTACCAACCAGAGTCTTGTTAATGAAATGTGTTCTGTCACCAACGTCAGTTACTGCCTATTATAATCTTAGAGATGTCTGATCATTTTGACTGTATTTAATTTAATAACATGCTGTTTGTCAGTTTGATGGGACCCGCAATTACCAAACAGGTCCACTCAATCCTACTGCCTTAAAAAAAAGATGATTTCTTAATTAGAAAGTAACTTTGTCATTTATTAATGTCAAAGAAATTTAAAGTGTTGGCATAGTCTTCTCCAAGGGCTCAAATTAACCAACAAATAGATAATTAATATAAAATGTCCTTTGCCTCCATTTCCCACCTTCAAGCTGGCTCCAGTGCCGAGAGGGTTTTTTCTTTCCAATTTTTGGGTGGGAAATTTTCCAAGTGTAAATCAAATGTTTCAAACTTCTGGACTTATCTCATCCAAGCCCTAAGTAGTATAACTTATGAAGGCTCAAAAAAGTAAATAAAAGTCACTTTCCACATCACTTCTGCATCCCCAGATACAGAACAACAAATACAGCTCTTCTAAAAGACATAATCAGGCCACCTCCAGACTGGTGTTTTACTGCATGTCTAATCCCCAACATATTCTTGAAATAATAATAGTGCATTTGTTGTGTATTTTGTAATACTTTAGCTTGTTCTGCGATGCTTCCACAATTCTCCCACATTACAGTAGAACCTCTACTTATGACCGCCTCTACTTGGGCCCAATCCAAGTTGCGACCGCAGCAAACCCGGAAGTAAATACCGGGTTTGCCGTGATTCTTGCACATGCAGAAGTGGCTGCCACTGTCTGCACATGCACAGAAGCGTGCTGCCACCAAATGCTCCTGAGCACAAAGGCGCTTCTACCAGCGACCCGGATCGACTTATGGACGGACCTCCAGAACTGATTACATCCTTAAGTAGAGGTTCCACTGTAATGCTGACGAGAGGGGTAAAAGCACTGGGGTTTCTTTCCAAGCCCTGTTTCCTGGTGCTGGTCTTAGTGCTTGTAAAGGTGAATGTCTGTTTCAGAAATCTATCAGTTACGGTAATTAAAGAAACAATTATAGGTGCTGAGGGGTGTGTGTGTGTGTTTGTGTGTGCACATGCTTCCACATTATGGCCAAGCCTCTGGCCACCCCATCAAATTTCAGCTTGTTTACTCTGCAACAGAAAACATAGTTGAGGCAGCTTAGCAATTAACAGATTTATCATGACAGAAGCATAAATGGATTGGAGACAGCTTCATTTGATTCAAGGTGATTTCCCACTTTCCACTGGTACTTTCCATGACCAATGAAATAGGCTCCAATAGGCATTGAGATCTTTGCATTTTCTTGCTGCCACTATGAAACTGGCTTCTGCTAAAGTTCTTGGCTTGGGGATGGTGCAGGCTAGATTTGTAGTAAGCTTCCCTCCTTTGGTCATCTGGAATCATTTGCTCTGTACATGCTTTTCATTTGTGGCATGATGGTAATCAGGATTATGGCTGCCTGGCTAGGTCTGCTGTGCATGTACAGGTAGGTCCTTGTTTTCACTGGTGAGGTGCTGGATGGTATTCCGGTAAGAAATACTCATATTCTCTGCTTCACTTACTGCCATCCAGTTGTTAATTACTAATGGATCATTTTAATTAGGTCTCAAAATCAGAATTGTTATATAATCAAACTGGCAATATAAAACATGAAAATGGCTTGAAAATCAATAGTTTAAAGCTATTGTTGCACAGTTCTTTTTATATTCATTCCAATACTTGACATATTTTCCCTACGGGGTGCTTTTATTATCTCTTATAATTTAGGGCATTAAATTAATAGGAGGCCATTGTAATTTATGCAACCAAATAAAAAGTGCTCCTCCTTTTCTACCACATTTCCCCTCTAAGTCAAGATTGAGATAAAAAAACTGGAGATGGGATAAGTATTTAAAAAAAAAACAAAAAAACCCGCCATAACTCAGTGGCAGAGAACTTCCTTTGCATGCAAAAGGTCCCAGAGTCAACCTCTAGTACAGGCTTCCTCAATCTTGGCCCTCCAGATGTTTTTGGCCTACAACTCCCATGATCCCTAGCTAGCAGGACCAGTGGTCAGGGATGATGGGAAGTGTAGTCTCAAAACATCTGGAGGGTCAAGGTTGAGGAAGCCTGCTCTAGTATCTCCAGGTAGAGGTTGGAGAAGCCCTGGAGAGTTGCTACCAGTCAGTGTCAGCAATATGGATCAGTGGTCTGACACAGTATAAAGCAGCGTCATATGTTCCTAAGCAGCTATTTCTGCTTTGTTTTAATTTATTGGAAGAGGGACAGTCTTATACTGAGGAGGACCAGAACAGGCTGTATGAGTGAGTAGTCATCAGGCCACACTAACAGATTAAGGTATCTGCCAAACAGCAGCATAACTCAGTTGATGGAAACCCAGCCAGATGGCCGAGTATAAATAATAAATTATTATTATTATTATTATTATTATTATTATTATTATTATTATTATTATTATGTGCTACCACCAAGCAGCACAGTATAAACAAGCATCCATGCTGTGGTGAAATTAAGCTAATAAACTCCAGCTTCAGGAGCATCATAAAAAGGCAGGTGTTTCTTTATTAACAGGAATGGCCCAATACATTTCCTGCTTGAGATTAAGCACAAGATGGTGCATCCCGGCAATTCCATGTACTAAAGTCAGATGTGTTGCAATGGCTCTGTTCCTGCTTGCAGGGTCGTGCCCAGATAATAGCACTGGAGTACTGCTCTGTGGGCCTGTGGCAGTTACATTGCAGGGTCCTACCTTTTTCTCCAAGCAGCTCCAGGTGGTCCACATGATTCCCCCCCCCCATCTCATTCAATCCCCACAGCAACCCTGTGAGATAGGTTAGGCTTAGAGGCAGTGATTGGCGCAAGTTCACTCAATGATCTGCATGGGTGAGTGGAGATTTGAACCCTGGTCTCCCAGGTTCTAGTCCAACACTCTAACCACCACACCACACTGGTTCCACTCCACTGTACAAATGTTTAGCATCAGGATGTTGATGAGGTTAAAATGTGACATGTGAAACTCACAGGCAACTGGTTGGAGATGTTGGTCATATGCTGGCATGATGGGAAAGCAAATTTCCCAAGAAGCAAAATCAACAATTTTCAGAAAGTTATTGCTAGGAAGATCAATGCCTGTTAAAGGAATAGTTGCAGATACTGCATTAAATCCTACACGGTTTTCTTTCCCCATTGTAATAAAGCATCTTTGCTCTATGGGAAGCCCTCCCATCACTTTTCTTCAGTTTTCTCCATTCTTTTAATGTAGATCTTAACACAAATGAAATCTTGTTGATTGGCATTTTTCCTTCAAGTGCTTGTATGATAAAAAGCTTCTTCTGGTATCAGCTTATGGAAAAAGGGGGTTGTGCAAAGGTAATCCTGGAACCTGAAAACTTGTCAGGAGCCAGACAGAATGAGAGAAACAATGTTTGCTGACAGTAACAATCTCAGCAGCTGCAAGAAGATATAATTAGACTTGTGGGTTGTTGTTGTTTTTTCCTAGTGTCCATTGTGCTTTACATCAGGATCATTTTCTGGAGGCAGTCAATCATCTCCTCCCCAGGCTGCTGTCACAAAGAGGTCATCAGCAGCTGAGCTGACAACATTATTAAGGTGGAGATGGTTATTTGGTCCCTTTAAGTAAAATATTGCAACAGGATATGACCATTAATATATATACACAGGCACCTTTTTCTGCCGTGTTAGTCTGTATTTGATGTCAACAAGGAATATACCATATATATATATATATATATATATATATATATATATATATATATAGTGTAGGGTTGGAAGGAACCCCAAGGCTCATCTAGTCCAGCCCCCCTGCAATGCAGGAATTGCAGCTAAAGAAACTTTAATAGATGGCCATCCAACCTCTGATTAAAAACCTTCAATGAAGAAGAGTCCTCCAGCTACTTAGAGAGTCTGTTCCACTGTCAAACAGCTCTTACCAACTTATTATTGATAAATTAATTTATAGACCACTTATTATATAAAAACATGGTCCATCCTCCATGTAACAGCCCTTTAAATATTTGAAGGTGGCTATCATATCTCCTGTCTCTCACCTTTTTACCGTAAAATTGTAGAGCTGAAAGGGACCCTGAGTATCATCTAGTCCAACCCCCTGCAATGCGGAATATGCAACTGTCCCATGTGGGGATCAAACCTGCAACCTTGGCATTATCAGCACCATGTTCTAAACAACTGAGCTATCCATCTTGTGCCAAGCTAAACACATCCGATTCCATCAACTGTTCCTTATAAGTCTTGATTTCCAGAATCTCTATCATCTTGGTCGCCGTCCTCTGCACAGGGTCATAATCCTTCTTAAATTGTGGTGCCTTGAAATGGACACAGTATTCCAGATGTGGTCTGACCAAGGCAGAATAGAGTAGGACTGGTGCTATTTTTCTAGGAAAGAAAGGTGCCGGAACTCACCATGAGCCCCTCGTTTGTTCTCTTATAATGGCAATGGCACCCACCTGAAAGGTGCCGGAACTAAAAACTAAAACAAAAAACAAAAAACTAAAAACTAAAAGCCCTGGGTGGAACCATTCCTTCTCTTGATCAGAACATTATACTTCTGTTTATGCTGTCTATAGTAGCATTTACGTTTTTTTGTTGCTGTGTCACCCTCTTGACTCATGTTAAACTTGTGGCTTACTAAGACCCCATGATCCTTTTCACATGTACTACTGGCTTTCCAGTCTTTCCTAGCCCTACTTGGACACACCAGCCATTGAACCCAAGACATTTTGCATGCAAACTGGGCTATGCATGGTTGTGGGCCTTCTCTTAAACCTATTCTGCATCTCTGATCTCAGGGTCTCTCTTTTGTGCTATCGATTCTTGACTAAGAATATGTTTTGCCTTCTGCGTTTGCCCAGTCAAAATGACTCCCCCCCCCTTCTTTTTTCTTACTTTTTTGGTAAGCCAATGA